TGTTTCGTCGGAGTTTCACCGACTCATCAGGAGACTGAACCCTCAACAGTCTGCAGAATCCCCTCACTGATTACACTGTAAATGATAATCTACCTTAACCAAAATCAAAGTAGACTATCAATCACCTACACCAGATGGAAAACTCAACAGACTGTCGGTTCACACCCCATCACAAGCCAGCAAAACATCCACGAAACAAAGAAGTCTGTCACAGCCAAAAAATACACTCCAGACACGCCGCTGGCACTAGAGGCACAGCATGGCCGCCTTATATATACAAATTGTCATATATATTATATATATTACCGGGCAGTTCTATTTGACGATATATAGTATATACATAATATATGTATATTTACCTATCTATCTCCCCCCCCCCCCCCCCCCCCCCCCCCCCCCCCCCCCCCACCTCTCTCTCTCTCTCTCTGCAAATGTACACGGCAATGCAGCCAGTTGCTGGGTTACAACAATTTTCTGCAATCTCTGGCGATTGGATTTGTGAATGATGACACCAGCATAACAGCATGATTGGGCGACAACTGTGTGGCAATAATGTGTTGTGAAAACGCATGGAGTGTCATTGATAGACATGCTGGGCATTTTCTCTTACAAATTGTGCTCGTACTGTAATGTTTTGCATCATGAATACCATGACCGTAGAACTTCGATCTGTTCTCATAAATGCTGATAATTTCATCCATGAGAGCTTTGGATTCATTAGAACAGAGCAAAGTCCTAAGATCATGGTATGATAAACTCGCTAATGATGCAAGACATTACATGAGTGCAAGTATGATCAACTCGCTAATGATAACTGTGATGTGACAAAAACATCCATGGTAGACTCTCAAAATCCACACATCATTACCATAAACAGCCATGCAAGTGGTGTGCTAAAAATCACAGCTGGGAGGGTTCAAGGAAGTCGATGCCTCTCCACCTTTCCCATCCAGCTCGTGACAAGCCTTCCCAAACTCTGGCAAGATACACAATAATAACTTGGACAGGGGGAGCAAGGGAGTCCCTTCTTGGTTGCTGTACTGTAATGGTTATGCAACCCTTTCAGCTTCTGTGCCTGATCTTCACCACCACGTCAATGGGGTCTAGACATCTACTTCCTGGTCACCTCCACACGCGAAATCAGATGATCAAACAGCATCAATACTTCAATGACGGCTACCGATACTACAAGCGTTGGGCCCAAACAGGCCTCTTACATGCCAAAACTGTCGATGGGAAACTGTGAATAAAATGGACACTGGCCACCACCAGTCCAGTGAGCATCTGGCACAAAATGCTCAATTGTGACCAGATCCACCAGATCCATTTGCCAAGCACGCTTGCAATGCTCTAGTGGACGGAAGACGCCAACCTCCACAAAGTGAGCACCAATGTGAGGAAGACATTCCATGAATAGCTGCTCTGCATACAGATAGCAGTGGATGTTGCTCGTCGTTGATATCTGGTAGACACGCCATAAACAGCTGCTGCACTACCAAAATTCAATTTCAATGGATAGGCCCTACACAAGAGCCTCGCTCAGTGGGTACACCCATGAGCTGTTGAAATACAGACCCGAGTTCAAATCCAGATGGAACTTGACAAGTAAGACCAAATATTTCTGTGTTGCCTGCCGATGACTCAAGGCCGTAGCCCTTTTTTTTTTTTTCCAATCGATGGATAGTCCCTGTTGTTGATATTCAGTCCCATTTTGACGTACCAGCATACCATGGATATACATCAGTTACTCCAGAAAACTGGCACCCAACTCCACTCAGAAATGTCACTAGATCAAGAATGTGGGTTTGGGCACTGGGCCCACAGCATTGGTAAACTCGCTGGGACCGCAACCTTGGGATCCAGTCCCCCACAGCCATGGCATTCGCTGGGCCTACCCGCTCTCCAGGGTTTTTGTTCATCCGCAGTCCTCAACTAGTGGAAGGTGTGCATGAGTGTGCTCCTCACGACAGAAGACTGCCATGAGGCTATGTAGTATGAACATTCTCGGTTTTATCCCCTTTTTTGTCAAACGAGGGGCCAACAGATCAGTCTAGAGTCCAGATGCCAACAACTACTCTCATTTTACGATATGCACATTTCATTTCGGTAAATCCATGAAGGGTACCATCAAGATTGGCAAGTAGGCGATGCTCACCTGCCACAGAAGCGGGTAGCAAAGCTGCTCAGATGCTCAGCGCTGCCACCAAGAAATTTAGTCACATCGTTGTTGAAACACCCACTAAACTCAGCCCAGCGTCCCCAATTTGGAAACCTCAGTGTCTACATGCATGGATAGAGCCAATAACACAACGCAACAAGCACAACATCAACAAATCAGGCCACCGGTTTCACAAGCTACAAAAGCTACATTAGCAGACACTGAATTCCTTTTGATTCAGCACAGCCACCTCCCTTCAGATCAAATGGGACCACTAACTGAACAGACAGTAGCTATGCCCAACCCATGATGCTGAATGGTGCGTATAACTGTCAGTAAACAGTCCATGACTTCAAATCCTCATGGGTGAAAATAGAAACATCATGAACTTACACTCCAGTCTTCAGACAACGGTCACACAGATGTCTTATGACTCGATAGCCTACACACATATGTCTTATCATTCATAACCGGAAACCAAATAGCCTATCATTCATAATCGGAAACCATACAGTCCCGTACCAATTGTCCATACTACAATTATATGATCTGTAGATTGTGAACCTCTCTCAGAC